TTTATATTGTAAACAATACTTATTTTGCCTATCAAAATTTTGCATCTGTGCAAGCTGGTATATGAAATAAATACTGTTTAAAATACAAACATTTGAAGTATTTATTTCACTTATCAAAATTTCTCAACTGTGCAAGCTGGAGGATGAAATAAATACTGTTTAAAATAAGGACATTTGAAGTATTATTTTCCCTATAACAATTTCTCAACTGTGCAAGCTGGTAGATGAAATAAATACTGTTTACAATAAAAACATTTGTAGTAATAAAAAAGACAAAATATTAATTTACATGCACAACAGTAATTCTGGTACAATGTTGTATTTTTAGAGTTGTGGGTGAGAAATGATCACTAATGTCATTGTTTGGCAAGATCACTATGGTTTCCACTGGACAGTAGTTATACTTTTCATTGTTTGGAAGACTGTATAGTGCCAAGTTTCTTATTATAGAAGTTTAGCATACCTGCCGTAAAATCCAGTATTTAAAAATTGGTATCATTGTGATCCTGAAGGTTGATTCTTATATATATATATATATATATATATATATATATATAAATTACATATAAATGAAATTCAGAAATACCCCATCTGTATGACCATTTCACCCTGCAAGAAATCAATCTTCCAAGGTTTATCAACACCAAAGGGTTTGAAGATAAAATAAAAAAGGAAGCTTAAACATTTTTAAACTTTAAAGAGACAGGAAGGAAGAGGAAGAAAAAGACAACAAAGTAAGAGAAAAAATATATAGTATACTATGCTATCTTGAAGAAGATACGAATTACTGTTGGTTCCAAAATTAGTAAGCTTTCATTTAATAAGAATATTTTTAATAAAAGCAAGGAATTGTATGACAATGCTTTCCATAAAAGTGGTTTTACTAATAAACTATCTTACTTCAACCCCATAAATAACACTAGTGAGGATAAAAGGAGTAGTAAGCACAAAAATAGAAAAAGAAATATAATATGTTTCAACCTCCACTTCTGTAGGTTATCTAGAATTAATATCAGACAAGTTTTCTTGAAACATATAAATAAACATTTCCAGTAAGATCTTTAATAGAAAAACTATCAAAATAAGTTATTCATATACAAAAAACATGTTTAAAATAATTGACTCCCACAATAAGTATATTCTAAACAAATTCAATGTTGTCAACAAGAAACCTAGTATGGATCCCCCTGTAATTGTAGAAATAGCAATCTTTGTCTGGTTGAGGGAAAATGCAGAGCATCTAATATAATTTATCAAGTTATCATTTACCCCAAAGAAAATAGATTAAACCACCATATTTATATTGGGATTTCGGTGGGGAAATGGAAACAAAGACTTTATAACTATAGACACTGTTTTTCCACCCCAATATTAAAACACCAATCTGCTCTCTGCAAAAAATTTTGGAAATTTAGGGAGAAAGATCTGAACCCTAAGATTGACTGGAAATTCATAGTTTTTGCTCAAACTCCTAGTAACTTTAAGGGTAGACATAACATGTGTTTAGAAGAGAAAATTAGAATTATTAAATTTGACAATCAAAGTATATTACTAAATCAAAGAAATTAATCGGTTTCCAAATGTCATCATAGAAGTAGATTTAAACTGATATAGAATATTTTCGATCTCACACTATCCATTATCGCCTAACATCTATATTGTTAATTCTACTACTTATCACTCCTTTCAAATAACCTTCCTCCTAAATAGGTTTTATTTATCTTTCTTCTTCTTCTTCTTATTATTATTATTATTAGATATTTCTCTATTGTGATTATTATTATCCCTACTATTATTACTATTATTATTATTACTCCTTTTTAATTTGTCTATACTATATCTATTGGTTTATTTCTTAAATTTTTTTTTAATATATATATTTTTAATAGACTTTTTAAAAATTATTTTTTTTTATATTTTATTTCTATTATTTATTTTAAGATTTTATTTTTTATAGGTTATTTTATTTTATATTTTACTTTAGGTTATATTTAATACTCATATTTACCATTGAATCACTTTTTTAATAGCTGTTTTTTTATCAAATTACTTTTATGTTAGCATAATTTTAATTGATATTTCCCTCTTTAAAGGGCTTTTTTAATTTTACTCTATAATTAATTAATACTTTATTTATATTTGACTTATATTTTACTTAAGTTTGATTTTTTTTATTTATTATTATTTATACTAATTAGTATATAAAGTTTACCTATTACTTATATTTAATATTAATATTTTTTAAATTTACTAAATATTTGTTCTTATTATTTCTTTAAAAAATTTACTTTAATTACCTTAATATATAATATTTTTATTTTAGATGTCACTTTTTTTTAACCCTTCTTTAAATTTTTATAAAACAATCATAAAAACCTTCTCTAAGTTTTAAAGATTGAATTTCCTTATGTAATTTTTCCTATTGAAACAAGGTATTAACATTTTAATTTTGCCTTACTTTGAACTTGGATTTTAGTGTATTTGACTATTAAACAGTTTGTCTTGCTTTGAACTTGGATTTTAGTGTATTTGACTATTAAACAATTTGTCTTGCTTTGAACTTGGATTTTAGTGTATTTGACTATTAAACAGTTTGTCTTGCTTTGAACTTGGATTTTAGTGTATTTGACTATTAAACAGTTTGTCTTGCTTTGAACTTGGATTTTAGTGTATTTGACTATTAAACAGTTTGTCTTGCTTTGAACTTGGATTTTAGTGTATTTGACTATTAAACAGTTTGTCTTGCTTTGAACTTGAAATACTACTTCAAATCAACTACATATTCATCTTTTGTGGGTGGTTAAATTTATTTCTATGTATAACTAATGTGCTTGATAAATTGTTTGTTTATAAGATCTTTTTTGTGTTCATAGATATGTTTTTAAATTTCTACAAGTTTCCCCAATGTATGGTGAAGAGAAGTTATGACAGTTTATTTTATATATACCTGCTTCAGAATGATTATTGTTGTATTTTAGAGTGCTAGTGTTAATAAAAGGCATGGATGTGTTTCTATATCTATTTTTTAAACTGTGAAACTGATGTCTACCAGCCTAGAAATCAAAGGTCTTAATAAAGTGTTCCACAAAAGCAAAAGTTTGAAAAATTTCAAATATAATACAAACTTTTGCAACCACCTGTCAAGTTTGAAAGTTGTTTCCCCACCAAATTAAAAAGTACATACACGTTCAATTCCAGCTGGGAAGTATATTTTATCTTGTAAGACTTTTGATCTTTATGCTGGTGGACATTAATTTCCACCTTTAATAAAATGGGATATCTACTCAAACATGTGTAACCACTAAATATAACATTTATAGTAACACACACACACACAAACACTCATATTTATATATATATATGTGTGTCTGTGTGTGTGTGTATAACAGTAAAAAAACAGGAAAACTGTATTATTAGCTGATACGTTTTGTCCAATGTGGACATTTTCAAGGCAAAAATGAAAGTCCACATTGAATGAAACACGTCAGCTAATAATATAGTTTTCCTATTGTCTTTTACTTTTATACATATTGTCTTTTCTACAGGTTAACTCTGAGAAATCTTTCATATATATATATATATATATCATGAGAGTTGATCATAGCTTGACAGTTATTATCTAAATTTTGATCTGAAATTTTTACTGTATAATGTCTGATCTATATGAATAATATTCGCCACTAAATTAAGTGTATTGACAAAGAAGGGAATTATATTAAAAGTAATAGCTTACATTATTTACATTTGGACTAATATTGTGATCTTTGTTGTTTTTATCACAATACTTCAGCTGTTGTACCCTCCAACCATCATCAGATGTTTGTTGATCTGGATAACCTTCAGAGTCCTTTATTTAATTTAAAGGGATAAATTGTCCTTGTCCTTGTAGATTAAATAAAGTGTTCAGTTTGAAATTCCCTGATGGTTACTCAGATTGACAAACATCTGAATAAGGCCACTAGGCATGATGGCTGAAACACTGCAATAACAAAAAAGGTGAGGCTATTAGTCTGAATGTAAATAATATAATTATTCATCTCAGAAATTCAGACATAAAATAATTATTTGTTGAAATGTTTTTTTTCCATTATTAAACTACAGATTTATTGACAAACCAATATCTAAAATATTTGTATTTTTTTTAATATATCAACACTCAGATTTATTTACATATAGTGGACATAAAGTGGGCATTGATTTTCTATTGTTATTATGTAATAAATTGATCCCTCTTAGAATTAATATACTATATAAGATTTTATTAAGCAAGCCAATTTTTCACAATAAAATTGTAATCAACCAACAAATGTTGGGAAAAGTTTCAAGATGTTAAATACAAATATAATTTTCTGGTGGATATAAAGTGGGGGGGCCGGTTCTCTATTGTTATTGCATAATAAATTGATCCCTCCTAGAATTAATATGCTATATTAGATTTCATTATGCAAGTCAATGTTTTCACAGTAAAATTGTAATCAACCAACGAATGTTGGGAAAAGTTTCATGATGTTAAATATGAATATAATTTTCTGGTGGACATAAAGTGGGTGATCGGTTTTCTTTTATTATGTAATAAATTGATTCCTCCTGGAATTAATGCCAATGTTTTCATAATAATTTTCTTTTATTTTCATTAAGTAATAAATTGATCCACCCAAGATTTACAATGTAAGATGGGAATTTTTTCCATTTTGTTATTCAGCTACCCATATGAATGCCTATTACAAATTAATTATCTTTTTAATGAGTTTTAAGTTTGGTTGAAGGCAAAGTAGAAAAAAATGTTGTTTTTTTTTAATGTTTTGTTAATAGATTTAAATAATTAATTATATGCATCATTTCACATCAGCTTCTCTGTCAAATTCTAGTTTTTCACTTGAATCCGAAAGGTTTTGATTATAACTTTTGCCATGAAAATCTTCCAATTCATTTTGGTCCATGAATAGTTGTTCAACTTCTTCCAATGATTTACCCTGAGTCTCAGGAAGACAAAATGTCACAAATAGTGCCCCAATAGCACACACTCCAAAAAATAACCAAAAAGTACCTGGAAAGAACAAAATAAAACTGATAAAAGTTCTTTTCTGCTATGTGAAGGGGTAAAAAAGATCAAAAGTAAACATTTCAAAATATCACAATGCAAACTATCTTTCTTTTAATGATATGCGGAAATTAAATCTCAAGAAATAATGTAAAACATTTTTCATCATTATGCTACAGTCTTATTGATATGCATATACATTCACCATAGAATTAAGTGCCTTGACAAGGAAGGAGATTATGTTAGAAAATAAATATTTCTTTTAAAATTAAATGCATTTTCATCATTAGGCTGCAGATTTATTGGTATAGCGATATATTCGCCATTGAATTAAGTGCCTTGACAAGGAAGGAGATTATGTTAGAAAATAAATATTTCTTTTAAAATTAAATGCATTTTCATCATTAGGCTGCAGATTTATTGGTATATCTATATATTCACCATTGAATTAAGTGCCTTGACAAGGAAGGAGATTATGTTGAAAAATAAATATTTCTTTTATAAATTAAATGTATTTTCATTGTTAGGCTGTAGATTTATTGATGTACCTACATATTCACTATTGGATTAAGTGCATTGAAAGGAAGGAGATTATGTTGAAAAATAAATATTTCTTTTCTTTATTACTATAAAAGTCTGTGAACATATTCACTATTGAATTAAGTGCATTGAAAGGAAGGAGATTATGTTGAAAAATAAATATTTCTTTTCTTTATTACTATAAAAGTCTGTGAACGTTGCTTGTGTGTTTGTCAGAAGTCATATATAGAGAGTGGGTGAAAGAAAGATATGAATTTATTATCATGTAGGAAGCAGAGAGAGAGAAGGAAATGAAGAAAAAAATGCTCTCTTTTCCCACCCAGCTCTCTTTCTTTCCACCTTCCCATGATTGTGCGCGTGGTTATTTATATTTCAGCTTTCTTTAAACAGACAATTTTTTAATGTTGAAAGCAACTTCAATGTTTTATAATATGATTTAAAAATACAATTTTTTTATACAGTAAATATTTTTATTTCAACTTTCTTCAAGCAGACAATTTTTTTAATGTTGAAAGCAATTTCAATAACTGCAAATAAATGTATTTTTAAAATATCTCTACTTTCACAAACTCTTCATGAGACTGAATCTAAACAGTAACACAACAAGGTCTAGTATAAATTAAATCCTTTTTATTAATAGTCTACAGACTTATATATGCAAATGGTATCTCTTACCATGTCGTGTGATGGTCTCTGTCAGGGTGATAAATGTCATGGCTATCACTAAGTTACTGATCCAATTAACACCAACAGACATTGAATTACATGTGGCTCGTGCCCACATTGGATAGATCTCAGAGTTGACAACCCAAGGCATGGGTCCCATTCCTGCAACAGAAGGCCAAAGAATATATCAGCCTAATTATTGAGAAATTTTAATAATTTAAGTTACATTTTCTATATCAAGGCCTATGGATGTAATACACATGGTTTAAAGTAAAAATAAAAATGGGGTGTCATTTTTTTTTTTTAATCATTTCACCCCAAGCAAGGCAGAAATGCCACTAGTATGCATTGGGGTTACAGGCAGTGAAAGTGAGAGAAAACACTGAGTAGAGGGAGGATTGAGGAAAGGACAAATGATGAACAGTATTCAAGAAGACTGAAGATGGTGATTGACATTGCATTTAAATTTTTTAATATTGTAGCTACCAGGGAAGCAAGTAAACAGAAGGGTGTTCCCCAGGCAGAAAGTGCAAGAGAAGAAATTGTTGGAGTAGAAGTGGTAGTTGCATTTAGCTATTTCAACAGTAAATGGGTGAGAACTAAGTGTCAATCTATTAGCACACTTAAATTTATGCAGTTGGGGTACCAGGGGAAAAAGCTCATCAGAGACGTCATTAAAATATTTGTAGAAAAGACAGAGGGAAGCCACCTCACATTGGTGAGAAAGCGACTGAAGTCGAGATACCAAGTCAGGATCAATTACATTACAGATCCTTTTTTAGATTTTGTCAAGATGAATAGCAGGAGCACCAAACCAGATATGGCAGCAATATTCAATGCACAGATGAATGGTAAATTTGTAAATGTGCAAGATGGCCTCTGGTTTTGTTGTTTTTGGCACAACACAGTGACCCAACTTTCCTTGCAGTAGGTGAAAGTATTGATTCGATGTAGTCACTCCACTTCAAGTCAGTTGAAAATGTGAGGCCAAGAAGTTGCAGCATGTTGCTTTCCAGGAGTCTAGCATCAGCCAGGCTGATGGCAGGCTGAGAAGTTTCTTTGTCTATTTCAAATACAAGCATCTGCTATAATAATATTTGAACTAATAAAAATATCAGATTAAAATAAATCCATTAATTCTTTAGAAATTACATATACTCATCAATTACCTTCCTAATGGTATCAGCTCTCAACTTGGTATCTATACTGATGACAAAACCATTTACTCTTGTCTCGATAGTAAGTCTGATCAGATTGGCAAGGTCAAATTGACGGCTGATGTAAAAAAAGACCTGCGGTCTGTTGTTAACTGGGACAAGTAATGGCTTGTTAATTTTAATGCCTCCAAAATGAAACTTCTCTCGAGTAATCATCTGAAAGATGACTCCTTTCTACCTTCATGGTTGATGCTAACCTCCAGGAGAGTGACTCATTGCACCTACTCAGGCTAACATTCTCGGCTGACATGAAGTAGAAAGATTATATTGAATCCATTGCTAGGTCTGCTGCTAAGAAAGTTAATTCCCTGTTTCATGTTGGACAATTTTTCTCTCCAGAATCTATGTTACATATCTATAAGTTTATCATTTGTCTCTGCTTTGAATATTGCTGCCACATATGGTCTGGTGCTCTTGCTTTATTTTTAGATAAAATCCAAATAAGAATCAGCAATATTATTGGTCCTGACCTGTTGTCTCGGTATCAATCACTTTCCCACTGGCATAAATTTGCTTCCCTGTGTCTTTTCTCTAAATACTTTCATGGTAATTGTTTGGATGAAATCTTTGATATGGTACCTAGTCTTTATGAATTTAAGCAAAATACTAGATTAGTAACAAAGTCTCATTAGTTTACAGTTGAATTGGTTATATGTAACCATAAGCTTTATACTAACAGTTTCTTTTCTTGCACTTCTCATTTGGGGAACTCCTTTCTGGCTTCTTGCTTCCCAGATAACTTTGATCTTCAAAAATTTAAATGCAATGTCAATCATTATTTAATGTCTTCCTTATTACTCTTCTATTGTTCTTGAACTGCAATAATGCTTCTGTTTTCTAATTATCTCACACCCAGTAACCCTTTGTTTCTTAGTGACTTTATTCCCTTAGACGAGGTGAATCCAATTAAAAAAAAATTAAACACATTAGATTATATTTAAATTTCCATATATCAAAATAATATATATATTTAAACACATTGGAAAATAAGATATATAAATTTCTATATATCAAAACAATATTGTGTAACAGACTGACAACAAAATAGAAATGAAAAATGAACTCAGAAACTTTAACAGGCAAAAACATTTACATTTGTGGACAGATTAGCTTAAGTTTATTGAATTATGCAATTTTAGCATAAATGCTCATTTACCCAATATCAAGAGGACATCCAGTAATCATCCAAAACCTTCTTAATAAATTCAATTTCTGAGTTAAGTTTGGTTTCTGAACAAATTAATAAGATATGATGAACCGAGGCAACATTATACTTGTAAACTAAAATCTGTTTTGTTTTGGATATTCATGTTAGTTACTTTGCTTGTGTCAAAGAATGTAATCCAAAAAATGAATTTACCTGGGGCAAAAAACATGACGTACAGTGCAAGACCAAGAACAGGAATCCAAGCAAAATTGCTGGGGCAGTAATTCTGGGCAAGCAAGCCTTTGGTGAGGTGACTTGTATTGCAGAAATTGTGTACTGATTTGCTTAAGTAAGGCAGGCATGAACTGTTTGTACCAATGGGTCCAGCAGCTGAGTAGCAATATCCACAGTGCATATCTGTCACGCACTCACCACAAAACCTAAAATAAAGAAAGCAATCAGTTATCAGTTATTTTTTATTATATATCTATAGCTATAGAAACCCCCTGCAGAAGGTGGCAAAGGAAAGCAAGAAGAAAGGATTAAACATTAATTATAATAAGACAGAAAGTATGGTTGTTAGCATAAGAAACAGCCCACCATCATGATCATGAATCATGTAATCCCCTAAGGTTGTAAGGGCACCACATGTACTGCAGCTGTAGCAGCAGTGATGTGTGTTGAGCAAGATGGCCTGACAGAACTTGAGCCTCTTGAGGCTGGTTTTGAATTTTAAGTTTTTCCATTTCCAAGACTGATTGAACCCAAGGGTATAGGACCCAGTTTGTCTTGCTATTTATCCATAGCTGGGTGGGTGGGCTTAGAGATGAATTCATAATTTTCACAAGAGTATTAGCATGTAAGTGAATGTAATGAACTTGACTTGAATTCAAAACTCAGCTCTCCAATTCCTCAATCCAAGTTGCTATCCATTACTCCACTGTGTCTTCAAATAGTTCAATATACAAATTACAAGCTGAAGATACCAAAATCAAGCAAGAAAAGAAACTTAAATATCTAGGAAGTGTTTTTAACAGAGGGTGGAAAATGCAACACTAAAATTGAAAGGCACATTGGGATAATGAAAGATGCCTTCCAAAAGCTAAGCGAAGTATTACAAAACAGAAAAAATTTATAAACAAAAAAACCTGTACTAAACTTTGATAATATCAGTCCTTCTATATGGCAGTGAATGCTGAACAGTCTCCTCACAGATGAAGAAAAACTTGAGGCAACAGAAATGTGGTTCTACAGAAGGATGCTGAGAATATCATATGCACAACAAAGTTTTAGAAGAAACAGAAAATATAAAAAACACTTATACTTGGAATCAGAAAGAAAAAATTGAAATTTTTATGGCACACGATGACAAAAAAGAGTTGAGAAAATTTGACATTCACAGGACATATTGCATGGACAGCAAGGTGATAAATACTATTAAGAAACAAGAGGCTACTGGGAGTGAAAGAGGATGAGGAGAAGGAACCAGAACATAATCCTAAACAAGAAACAAGGGATAAACCTTTACTCCTGTTCAAAAGACTAGAGAGAAGTTTGAACTAGACAATAGGCAAACTTATCAACCCTTATTAAAAGTAATGTTCTTATAGATATATATATATATATATATATATATATATATATATATATATATATATATATATATATATATATATATATATATATATATATATATATATATATGGGGAGGAGAGAGATTTAAGCATTGGTTATAATTATACACAGAGTTGAAACACTGATAATGTAGGAATGGTAAATTTTAAAGTTTCTGACATCCAACATATGGGTGGGTGAATTTGAAGATTTCAGGGAGGAGGAATTTTTATTTTTTGTTTTTTATTTACAGAATTTGGAGTCCATCATGAGTTTGAAAAAAGACAGTATGATGAATCTTATATTCAATATAGATTCACATCCATCATCATCAACGGAGAAGAAAGGCTTCAGGGTGTATTTTGTTGCTGAGCTTTGTCAAATGATTCTTTGAAATCAACAAAGTTGAAAGAACATTTATAAAAAAATATTTTATAAAAATATACCATGTAGATGTACTTATATGGGAAAAAATAAAGATTTTCAATAATATATACATATTATTTGGAATGCACCTTTAGAGTTGGATAATCTCGGATGGGTGGGGAATGACATTTATACTTATGGAAAAAAAGGTGCATTAGGCAAAAAAGGTTGAGAATCACTACTTTAGAGGATGAAATGCATTGCATAGACTTAATAAATAATGTTTGAAATATGCGAAATATATTAAGAATTTCTTCAAGAATTAACAGGACTTTCTTCCTTAATATTTAATCTGGAATGAGTTTTAAACGTAATTCCTCTTTGACAGAAAATTAGAAAAACTGTTTTTCTTCATTCAATATTTACTTGGATAAGATTAAATTTACAAGCATCTCAGAGAACAACAGAAATATGAATGATTAAAAGTGATAAAATCTGATATTAAGTACAAAGACAAAAGTTTTATACTTCATTGCTTGTTGACAGAAAATTAGAGATGCTCACTTTGTTCATTCAAGGTGCGGATGCCAAAAAAGACAAAGGATTTAACATTTAACGAAGCAGTTACATGCCTTATAATGCACAGAGTATGGAGTCAGTAATTTGAGTTCAAACTCTAATTGGGACAGTTTGTGTTCACTACGTACTAATTCTCATGAGAAAGGCATGAACCCATTTCCCCTGTCTGCATTCTAGCCCTGTGAAACAATCTGTTATTATATAGCACCTGACCCCATAAAAATTTACTTGCTACTGAAACCACAGCTGCAGCACATGATGTGGCTGTGACCCTACCATCTAGACAGAATTTGCTAGAAGAAACATTTTTTTTTCAATTGCTTATTCTTACCTATAATTTTCACAGTGCAGGGACATATTTTTCACAGCTGGTTGCCAAAACGTAACTGGAAGTTTGCTTGTGTTTGTCAACTGGAAGCCAATGGCCAGGGTCATGCAACTAAACATCATTCCTAGACAACAACAGAAATTGATATATTTATCCATGAAAACAATGACATCTAAAGGAAAATTGGCAATGTTTGGCCTTCATGCCTGCTTAAAAATGCTGTTTCAAAAGGATGGTTATTCCCTTGTCACTGCTATTACTGTATAAACTTTTGAGTTCCTTGGCAATGTTTATTTTCAAGATTATAAACATATGCAAACCAAGTACAATGCTATATTTATTATTTACCATTCATAAATATTTAAAAACCATAAAGAAATAAATTTTAAAAGAAATCTTTTTATTCAAAAATTTATAAATTCAAAAATGATCAAAATATGCAAGAGGAAGAGATGCTCTCAACCTATTTTAAAATAATTTATGGAACAAAGGCAAATGAAAGAAACACAGAAAACGCATCTTTTCAAAATTCATAATTACAGTGACTCATCATTATGTCTTTATTTAAATTTCTAGTCCACAACTTTTCTTACAAATTTATAAATAAAAAAAATTCTTTTTATATTTATTCCTTTATAAAATGATAAATAATGAATATTTCATTATAGATGGTTTTTACATATTTTTATAATCTTGAAAATATAAAATTATTTTTGTAACCAAGGAATTTACTCAGATGAAAGTGCATTGAAAGTGCAATGATCTGCGAATCCTCTGTTGTTAAATGATATATGACCAATTTGTGGTTAAATAATATATGACCAATATGTGTTTAAATAATATATAACCAATATGTGGTTAAATAATATATAACCAATATGTTGTTAAATATGTGGTTAAGTAATATATGACTAATATGTGGTTAAATAATATATGACCAATTTATGGTTAAATAATATATGACCAAATACATGGTTAAAAAATACACAACCAATATGTGGTTAAATATGTGGTTAAATAATATATGACCAATATGTTGTTAAATATGTGGTTAAGTAATATATGACCAATATATGCTTAAATAATATATGACCAACTTATGGTTAAATATGTGGCTAAAAAATATACAACCAATATGTGGTTAAATATGTGGTTAAATAATATATAACCAATATGTGGTTAAATAATATACGAGCAATATGTGTCTAAATATTTCATTAAATAATATACAACCTATATGTGGTTAAATATATAGCTAAATAACATACAACTTATATTAATTAAATATGTGGTTAAATAATATACAACCTGTTGTGGGGTTCTCCCCTTTTTACACAAATATACTCACCCAGGGTATACATATACTACTGCTAGTGAGCGAACGAAAAAGAACGAGAGCATATGAACGTAGCAAGCAAGAGTCACAGTGAGCGAGCACGTAGACTCAGTAAGAAGTCATACAGTGATACTTCAATACCAAAGACTGTATATATATTTTGCTACTAACACGTATTCCTGGAACTACTAACCTGCATTACCAGTTTGTATTATTACGTTAATAAATTATTTTCATATATTCCTTCTTGGTGTTTGTTATTTATTGGTACCAGATTTCATACCGGAATCCACAACACAACCTATATGTTGTTAAATATGTGGTAAAATAATATACAACCTCTATGTGGTTAAATATACAGTAAAAAATATACAATCTATATCTGGTTAAATATGTGGTTAAATAATATACAACCTAAATGTGGTTAAATATCTGTTTAAATAATATATGAAATATATATATGTAATATTTGTTTAAATAATATGTGAACTGGATACTTAACACCTGTTCATACTAAACTGGTTTTGAAACAATATAGATATGAAAACATTATGACCATTATAAACATAAAAAAATAATACAATTATGTAAAAAATAATCAAGCAAATTGTGTTCTGCTGTAACAGTGTCAATTTACTTGAAATAAAATCTGTTTCAGCACATGTCAACTTAAAAATAGTATCTTACCAAGTATACTGCCAATGCTGAGACATTTGCGACCACTCCGTTCCACCAGTAACAGACCAATGATTGTAAAAAACATGTTGACTACAGCAACTGCAGTTGAACACCAAATAGCATTTGAGTTATCAGCTATTCCAGCCATCTTCACTATAGTGGCACTGTAATATCTGATAAAAGAGAAATACCATTTTAATATTAATCTCTTTTCCTATTGAGAGAAAGAACATAAAAAATCTTATCTTTATTTTAATTTTAGGACATGAAGTATGATTATGTTCTTATTATAATTATTAATAATAATTATAATTTCTTATTAGTATTTACTTTCATCTTCCTTTTGCATTAGCTGAATCATTGTCAGCCATTATTATTAATTATTGGCTAGTATTTACTTTCATCTTCATTTTCTGTTGGATGAAGCATTGTAAACCATCATTAATAATTTATGACTAGTATTTACTTTCATCTTCATTTTTTATTAACTGAAGTATTGTCAACCCTTTTTAATAATTTTTGAGTAGGATTTACTTTCACTTTCATTTTTTATTAGCTAAATTATTTTCAGCTAAAAAAAGTAAAAAGAAATTTGAAAATAATTATCTCTGTCACACAAAATGTTGCAAAATCAATTTGGTGGTGTCATTTCTGGTCTCCATTCAAACATTTTGTTACCAGTTTGGTCAATATTGTTCTGCATTTACAACTGCTCATTAATTATAAACTTATTGGATTCCCGGGATATTTGAAGTGTCAGAACAATTCTTTTGGGCAAGATTCATTGATTTCTCAAAATTAGGTCATGAAAATGATCATGAATTTTCAATGAAACTTTTGAAAGACACATGGATTTTGTTTCCTCTTGTGTCTCAAAATCTCCACATGGGAACTGAGTACATAATTTCTATGCAACTGAGTATAGCATGTCCAAATTCAAATCAAATTCCAGGTGGTCATCCTCACTCTTGTTGGAAGAACCCCTCCCTGATTGACCATGTGTCCAGAGATATAGCCATACTCACCCCACTTAGTGAAGATATTTAACCCATAGTTGGGGATGAATTCAAAGCTTTCCTTTTCAAATCAGTTACCATCCAAGGCTATAAGATCCAGTCTGCCCTGCTATTTACCTACAGTTGGGGGTAGAAGACATGGAGTCATACATTTCCCAAGGATATTTACACCTAAGTGAGGGTAACAAACTCAGCTATCCATTGCTCCATGGTACCTCCATGTGGCAAGTACTTGTCATTCCATTTTTGTATGATGGGCTAATGGATATCTTTTGCAAGAATGGAATTTCATGATGGCCTGAAGTTCAACATTTGAAAACTCTACACTTTCTATTGGCATAGTCTAATCAAAGACATGAGTCATTACAAAAATAACAGCAAGAATCTGGCAAATTGGCACTTTATAATATAAAAGAACATTCTTTCTTGAGTCAGTAACAACAATATGCCCAGATTTTAGGATGTTGCTCAGGCTGAGAACTTTTCAACTTCACTTTATCTGATGCTTAACCGCACATTAGTCACATGGGGTGTTTTGTTACCCCTTAATTTTTAAAGTAGTCGTAATTCCTAAGGAACTATCTATTTTTGGAAATCTGAGGTGACTAATGCAGGGTTAAAAATGCAAAGTCAAGAACTCAATCATCAGCACTCACATGACTCGGTGACAGTGTGTAGCACACAGTTTAGCAAAGCTTTAGCTTGGTTGTCATGGGAGGCAGACACTAGGGAACTATCTATTTTTGGATGCGCGTGCTTGATTGAAAAATCGTACGACTCATACCGCAATCGCTATCACTTGACTTAAAATATTTTTGCCCTTCCTTGCCTTTAAAGGAGTGCCCTTTACCATGCTGATGTTGCTACATGCCTTACTTCTTGCCTATCTCACACTGCGAATTTTTTCTAAACTCTATACTAAACATTAAATCTGTTATGAAAAAAGAACTAAACAAAATGAACACAAAACGATCAGCTTTAAAAAAGGACTCATAACTGAAAAAACTGAATGAAAAAAGAATATTAACAACAAATACTTTTTCACACCAAACCCAGTTCTGCAGAATCAGAATCAACATTGAGTTTAAGCAAGCGAAAGAGCCAATTGGAGTAAAGTGCCATGCAGATTTAAATTTTTCCCATTTGTGACGAATGCAGCTATCGATTTTTTTGCATGCTAGCATGCTAGTTAACATTCGTGTCAGTCAGTTGTTGGCTCTCACACTGGCCAATAGAATCTTCCTGCCTATTCGTGGCAGCCAGCTATTTGCTCTCACTCTGGCCAGTACAAAATGGCTACAAACTACATGAAAACTGCCATAGAAGCATGAAAAATCGATTATTTCCACTATCGATGGAAGTTGGGAAATGCAAAGTCGGTCTTGGCCTTCCCGCTTAATTGGAGCATGTGCATGTAAATTTTGGTGCAAATCCGTCGAAAATTGCGGCTGTGCATTCGTTACACACGCATACACACATCCTGCCTTTTATAGATAGAGATTAAATTAAATATGGACATCAATAAGAGATTAATGTATTTACAACTACAATTTTTGCTATCTGTGAAACTTGAAACAAGATTCCAAAATATGGAAAACCTGTTAGTAAAATATTGAACCTGGGCGTTACAAGGCCTTTTTCTGCTGGATAAAAAATTGTTGCAAAATGATTATTGCATCATAGGACATCAAGTCCTGATCTTCACCCCAATCCCGAGTAGAATTCCCTCCAGACAAAAGAAATGTTCTTACATGATTGTATTGATTCCACCAAATTGTTGAAATAGTTGCATTCCACATCCCACCATCAATGCCTTTCGAACATGTTTTGTCTCAAAGATCTGCTTCAATGTACTGCATTTTGCTAAAAGAAACATAATACAGGGTGCAATGGTAAATTGTCGCCATTCTATATTTTTAATTTCATTGTTTGTTTTTGATTTTGTTGACTGCACAGAATAATAATGTCAGTTGGGTACCGTCTATGAGAAAAATTGCACCATGACACAAGTCATTCCATCAGAAATTTGGAAACGACATACTGTACTGCTTGGCATTTGCACCGGAAGCTCCAATATGAACATTTCAGAGTGTCTTGATGTCAAACTAAGAACAGTGCAGGGGATTCAGAAAGAGTTGGATGAGTTTAATGGTGATTATGAAGGCACGGCAGTTCAGAAAACTCACTCTGATCATTCTGATAGGAAAAGAACTGAATTTGTTTGTGAGGTCCTCAGACTCAACACAGAGGCCTACATCAAGTGCCTTGAGTAGTGCTGCTCTGGGTCAAGAGGGTGGCTGAAGAAGTCCCTATGTCTGGCAACATAACTATGCCACACAAGGTGGAGTACCCAGTCATGTATTTAAGGATACATGACACAGTAGATAAAGGTGTTGGTTAGATCCATTGACAGGACCCAAAGAGTGTGAGTTCAATACCCGGTTAAGGCAATGGAGAACTTTCAGAGGGAAATTAACAGGAGATAACTGATAACTGACATCCATTAAACATGGCATGTGGAACTAGAACAGTCTACCCCAGTGAGTGAAATAAAGGGTTCAGTTCGACATTCCAACCATCTGAAGAAGGCCTGAGCATACAATGGCCAAAACGTTGTGATAAATATGGCAACAAAGATGAAGACAATAATCTGAATAATGTAAACAGTGTATAATAATACAATGTGGAAAATCTTTTCAGCTTATGCATTTCACACCTTAAAGTAGGCATCCTCAGACTGGAATGAGAGACAAACCTATTTTAGAAAAGGATGTTGAAATATAGATAGACTGATTTGTGTTTTATGGCTTATCAACCCTTTGTCAGTTATTTAAAGCTGAAACATATTTGGGATTATAAGAATAATTTTTTTTTGTTTTTTACAAATGAAACATTTGTGAGTGAAAATTGTCCTGAGAATAATAATGCTTACTCTACATAGAAGTTCTGCTATTTAACACATAACTGGGAGGGAGAAGGTGGATTCACATATTTCCCAAGGGTATTTGTGCAAAAGTGAATGTAATAAACCAGACTGGAATTTGAATTTGGCTCTCTCTGATTTCACAGTCCTAGCTGCTATCTATTATACCACCTGCACATTCTGGAATATAGGGAAGAGGTAATAAAGGCCTGAGAGTTGGTGTTCTTTCATGCTGAAGCCACTAATGTTTGATGGATTTTAAATTTAGCCTAATCTCTATAAATCAAGGAAAAAAAACATTTAGACCTAGTTGCCAATCTAGTAATACTCTTAAATTCATGCAATTGAGACACCAAGAAGGAAAGCTTGTTCAAACAACTGCCATGAGAATATTTATAGAAAAGCCAAAAAAAAGCCATGTTACAGAAGTCAAGACTGAAGTCAAGATGCCAGGTCAGGATCAATAACATTACAGAACTTTTTTTTGGATTATGTCAAGAATCTTGAGATATATAACCAGAGCAGCAAACCAAATATGGCAGAAATATTCAATGCACAGATGAATGGTAGATTTATATATGTGCAAGTTGGATTGTGATGAGAAAAATTATCTGACATGACACAGTGAAACAACCTTCCTTGCAGCAGACATAGCAATTGATTCAATATAATCACTCTACTTCATGCCAGTAGAAAAAGTGAGACCAAGAAGATGCAATGAGTTGCTCTCTTGGAATTTAGCATCAGTCATGCTGTTGCACTGAGTGTATTTTTTTTGTAAAAATCCCTTTTGTGTTCATATATTCTTTTATTTAAATTCATAGACATTTCTCCCTATGTATTTCTTGTGACAAAATAATCTACTTTGGCAATAGGAGTAGATAGGGTCAACTATCATCCAGTTCACACTCCTTCTTGATCATTTGAAAAGGAGTAGAGGTTTATCCCTTCTTTTCTGTTTAGGATTAGATTTCAATTCCTTCTAAAGTCTACTTCAACTCTATGCTTCTGACATCTCCACCTAAACTCCAAAATTTAATGTAAGTTGTGCGAACATTGTTATTATTATAAATAAAAATAAAATATAAAATAATGATAATAATGATGAAAATTATAAATAAAATAAAATTTAAACCTCGTTTAAAATAAATTAAATAAATAAAAAAATAAAAATAATAAAATTACTCCCAGCATGCAACAGGGGCTGTTCCTGCCAGAAATACAGACATCCCACCAAGAGATGTGAGATTCCCTTTTTGGCCTTGCGACATAATTGTATATTTTATACAATAAATATTGAGATTCAATCTCTTTGCCCAAGGACTGTCAAGATGAGAACATATGTTTAAAAACCCTCCATGATATGACTTGTGATATTGTGGTGTGACTTATTCCTTTTATAACATAAACATTATCACAGTTGTAATGTAAAACACACACACAAATACATAGATAAAATTGTATGAAATTACCATAAAATTTACCATGTTTTTTCATTGTTATTGTGTATGTTTGTTTGTACTGTTTTTCCTCGTGAACACAAGCCCAATTTTTATAACCACATGGTGGGAGTGAATATACCTCCACAAAGTAAAAACATTATAATGTAAGTAAAAACACTATAATGTAAGTAAGAATATTAATGTAAGAAAAATGCTATAATGTAAGTAAGAATATTATAAGTAAAAACATTAAAATGTAAATAAAAACATTATAACATAAGTAAAACCACTAATGTAAGTAAAATCATTATAATGTAAGTAAAAACACCATGATATAATTAAAAACATTATATAATGTAAGTAAAAACACCATGATATAATTAAAAACATTATATAATGTAAGTAAAAACACCATGATATAATTAAAAACATTATATAATGTAAGTAAAATGATTATATAATGTAAGTAAAAACACGATAACGTAAGTAAACACACAATAAAGTAAATATACTATAACGTAAGTAAAAAAGAAAAATGTTTTATATATTGTGCTCATGGAATGTTAAGGATGCTGCTGATATTATAAAGAAATTCCATTCAAACTTGAAAATGTATCAAATTCAAGAATACTAACCCTTGTTTAAAGAAACAGTTTCTATCAAAGTTTTAATTCCATAAAGTTCTTTTTCTACAGTTGTGTCAGTCGGACGTATTTTAGCCAATACTGCCCGAGCATCTTCTGACCGGCCATTTGCAACTAGCCAACGGGGGCTTTCTGGCAGGAAGAAAAAGGCAAAGAACTGGATAAGAGATGGAACTGCTGCCAAACCCAACATATACCTAAAAGGAAAAAAAATTCAAAACATGATATACACAATTATTGTGGCTTTGTGTTTGATTGAATATTAAGCCAAAGTTAGTAGACAAATAGACATTCTTTTAACTCTTAATAATTAACCAAGAGTTTTTTTTATAAATAAAAATTTAAGGAATACAGTGATTAACTAAACTGTAGGAATTAATTTAACTTGAATAAGAATGTAATCAGTGCTGGTGCATACTACCAACTGAACCCACTTGACTTGAGGGCAAATCTTATTGGGGGC